TCCAAAACATACAATTAGATTGTATTCTTGTAAATATTTACCAAGCTGGATTGAATTGAAAATTTCCATAACTTGTGACAGATTGAAGGGGACGTAATGTATATATATATATTGAATTTTTTTTTTTTTTTGAAATTGAGACGAATTCATTTTTCTTTTCTCGATAGGGTTTTTGAAAAGCAACCCGACATTTCGAAGCAAGGGGAGAGAGTGGAGCAGGCTTTCCAACAGCATGACAAAATTGCCTTCTCTGCATCCAGGGCAAGGATTAGGTTGATTCATTGCTGTATCGCATGCAAGGCACAAAAATTCCCCTCATAAATTCCAATAAACTTCCCGACGTGACAATCCGTTTAGAGATAACTGCGGTCGCGGTTTTTGTTAGTGAGTGGACTTTTTTATCTGACGGTGGTATTAACTTCCAGGTCGAGTAGGTTGGAGGTGGTAAAAAAAAAGTGGATGGAGATGAAGATAGGAAGAATAGTAGATGGGATTTCGATTTTTTAAACTTTTTTTTTACTTTTCATATATAAAAGGGATCTTTTTCAAAAGTGCGATTTAGAGCAGAACCGTTTTCAGGTTTTATTAAAAAGAAATTCAAACAAGTGTATATTTTCATTTGTCCCTTAATTCCAACAAAATGTGAATCCAAAATTTTTTGAAATAATTTTTTTTTTTTTGAATTAAAATTATAAAATGTTTAAGAATAAAAATATGATTTATTCATTCGTTTTAAAAATTACATCTCCAAATGTGTAATAACATAATTTTATAAATGATGGATTTCGTTCCCCCCTCACTTGAGTAAAAAATATATATATATATATATATATTTACAGATTTATTGTCTGAAAGGAAAAATTTATTGTCCTCTCATATCTTATGAGATAAACTGTTTCTTTCAATTGATTTATGGATTTTCTCTCGCTATTGAAGCATATCTTTATATAGGATTTGCTTTTTGGCATTTAATAAAATTCATATAAATCATTTATAAAATGTTGCATATTATTTTATTATAGTATGCATCATTTAAGTTCATTATTTCCAGAACTTAAAATCATAGTAGTTTATATAAGACAATATCAAAATTAATTAATTTATAAATTATAATTATCATCATAGATAATTAATTTCAGTAATTTTCAATTTTCTTCAAACACTGTTTAAATGTTTCTAATCAATTAAGTTCAATACTGTAATTGCATAATACAAGGAAGTTACCTTCACCCCATAACTTTCAGTTGCTCGCAGAGTTTTAGAGGAATGCGTCAGGGATCGTTTATCTAGTTAGGCGTCTAACAAGCTTAGAATAGTCCTATGTTGTTTACTACACTATCTCTTGTCAACTTAACAAGAACAAGACATAGACTATAAAATAATTTGATTAATTATTAATATATATATAGTAGACTAAAGTGATAATATAATTAAAGCATTATGCAAAATTTTTTTTATCTGTAGAGACAAGAATTGATAGTGTAATACACTAAGAATTTGGAAGAACTTACTGTCACTTCTAAGAAGACAACTGACAACTTTGGTATGTAAATAAAAGCATTACGCTCGGAGGATTTTGGGAAGTTCTACACACAATTAAATGACAAGTCATAACGTTCAATTATCGAAGGAAAGCAATGCGCACTAAAAAGTCTTTGACAATTTTTATTCACCTCTAAAAGACAACTGACAACTCATAAAAAAACTATTGACTAAAAAAAAATATTGACTAAAACTTCGTCGGTTATAGAAAGTGGTCACCTAACTCTTTCGTACAAAATCATCGCTTGTAGAGTTGCCATTTGTCCTTCACATTGTGAGTTGTCACTTGTCCGTTACATTGAGAGTTGTTACTTGTCTTTTACATTGAGAGTTGTCACTTGTCTTTTATATTGAGAGTTGTCACATAAGGGCCATTTGGTCTTAGACTTTTCTGTGCGTAGTGCTTTCATTTACTTACCAGAGTTGTCACTTGTCTTTTGGAAGTATTCATATTTTCGAAGTTTATAGTGAATAAAATTGTAAAATGATAAACAACTCTCAATGTAACGTAAAAGTGACAACTTTCCATCAGACAAATTCTTTGGAAACATTGTCCACAAAGATCAATGCTTTTGACCATTTATCGCGATACACTTTTTTTGTCGATTCGGATCCTTGTAAGCACAGCATTGTCACGGGTTGGTGTCAAAGACCAAATGGCCCTTATGTGACACGCGCCTTGGGCGTTTGAATATATATAATTTCATTATGATTTTTATTACGATTCCTATTAATGTAAACATTTTAACAGACGTTTCTTTCAAAGTCTATCGTTGAATATATAAAACCATATATTGTTTATATTTATATTAAACCCATTCAAATGATTAATTACTTTAAGTAATGTAATATTTATTTTTCTTTTAATCTAGATAGATATATTTATTTTAAAACAAAAATTTCTCAGTAAAAGAAGAAAAAAAGTGTGAACGAATTAAATATTGATAGAATATTGAACTCCAGGAAGATATAAAACGAATGTTTACTGTAATTGTGAATTTTATGTGTCTATGAAAAATATCACCTGCAAGAACTGTATCAATATTTACGTCGCAAATGTCCTCTAAAATCAAGTCACATAAAAAAACGGCTTTGAAATAAATCATCGGATTTTTTTAATTAAACACTATACAGTATCACGTCTCTGTAACTAAATTAAAAAAAGTAACATATTTGTTAAATTATTATTATTATTATTTTTATAAATATTTACAGAGTAAATAGCATAAATTTTTTTTTAGTAGAGAATAAATTTTTTAAACGATAAACTTTAAAGAAGTCAAGAATAAAAAGAAATTGTGAGTAATAAGAAAGCATAAAGAAATGAGGAAGTTATAAAGCTTTTTTTTCTTTTTTCCTAACTACAATGTTCCTTGTGTAAAAGTGAGATGCAATAGCATAGGAACGAGAATTGTTCTCACGCTTTGTTACTGATACAAATAGACAGACAGACACACACACATATACATATATACACTTATAGTACACAACTTTCGAAAATGAGTCTATCGCGTGCCACAGTTGTAGAACTTTTTAAGAACTATGAAATTGACTTATATAAGCCAAAAGTTGAAGAACATTTTTCCACTGGTAAATAATAGGTTAATAGTGTTAAGAATATTTACTTTTTGAATGTGTTATTTAATTATTACGAGCATGCTATCTTTATGTTTATTTTAATTGCCTTTTATTTTCAAGTAGGAAAGTGTTATAATTACTCTAATTAAAAAAAAAATAGGTTCACTTTAGCAGTACTCTATAATTTTAAACTTTTAGGTCTTTTTTAAAAAAATTTATATTCTTTTTGGCAACTATTTTTTAAAATATACATATATTGATTTTAATAAAGTACAAGAATTTAAAATAAAACCATAGCCAGTGGCTTTTTAACTCTAGAAAAAAAATACGTAAACTGATAAATTTCCAGAAAATTACAATAATTCTGAGAAAATGAGTAAGAAATTTGTAATAATTATTTCACAGTAAATTGCCCTAGTTTTTTTTTCAATTGTTTCAAAGGAAAAAGTGGCTATTTGCCATTGGTGAGATCGTTTTTTTTTCCTTTCTCATTTCACATTCAAGCGTACATTGTTTATACAATATAGGCAATATTCTTATGCCTGCAAAAAAAAAAGGTTACCATATCATACCTATAGTATGATTACCTAGTATGGCATTTGTTTTACAATTCTTGTCATTCTATTTATCTTTTTTCATTCTCTATTTGTTTTAGTATTTTACACCCTTCTTGTGTCCCAGCTATCGTGGTGGAAACTAATTTTCACACAGCTGTCACTTTGTGAAATGCGCTTTATAGCCAAGCTTGCGGCCGCAAGCTCGTTTATGACCAACCAAAAGATACGTCATGGGTTTGAGGATTCTTGTGTCCACTACAGGGGACGTAAATTGCTGTCGGCGATTTGCCTCAAATTTAACATGAATCGTCTGGTTTTGATGGGAAGTTTATGCAACAGTCAGCAAATATGACCTAATTTATTATATGCTGCGTTATTTATTTTCTTTTTTTTTGGGGGTCAAATAAAGCAAATTCTTGAAAGACTTAAAGTAAACAGTTTCTTTTTTTGGGTGATTAAATTTATTTTTAAAAATAGTTTTAGTTGCAAAAAATTTTGAAATTTAAAAGAGATAATGATTGTAAAATATTACTGAAAAAATTGAGTTGCTTTTATTTTTATTCTTAAGTTTTTTTTTTTTTGACAAAGCAAGAGGTTAATAGTGACTTTGTTCAGCTAAGACAATGTTTTCGTTTTATTGTATATATCCAGCTGAAGCTCAAAGAGACTGGATTACGTTTAAGCTTCTTCATAGGAAGCCTAGATACGGTTTATAGGCTTCATCAAGAGACACGCAAGTCGTAAATGTCACGAGTCTCATAAGCCATGAGTATCATACTTTACAAGAACCCATGTGCACACTGCAAAAGCTTAAACACACTACCTTACATGCTGTAACTTTATTCAATATTTCATCTGTGCGATAAAATTCTAGGTGTACTTTCATAAATTTACATCTTATAAATTTAAATTTCTTGTTTATAAACATTTTTAATTTTCATAGTATAAAAATAAATCTGTAGTGAAAATTAAAAGGATAAGAATATTCTTTTGATATAAATTATAATTAAAATATTAAAAAAACCCAAAAAAAATTAAATTTTAAAATATTTTTGATTTTCTTCATCATAAAATCCTATATACTATATATATTGAATTTCAAAAATGATGCTTTATAAGCGGAAACGATTTCTTGATATGATAAAGATTTTTTATTGGAATCTGTGAACCCTCATGAAAATTCAATTACATGAAAAGTTGAAAAGTTCGATTTCTAAGTGCCATCATTTGGAATTTCAAGTCGATACTCTCCAACGGAAAGCTTCGCCATATGGCGGATAAAGTAGTGCCTTAAGTAAAAAAAAAAGGGAAACTGTTACTTACAGATTATAGTGAACATCCGCCATATTTGGTCGATGTCGAAGAGCTTGCACAAAAGCTTCTTCAGCTTCTGCAACTCGTCCTTGTGCACTGAGGACACTTCCTAAATTTCCATAAGCTGAAAAAGAAAAGAAATAATTTTTCATTTCTCACTTCACTTTATGACTAATTAAAACTAATTGAAACTAACTATTAAAAATTATGAATCACAAGGCCGTTTTTCATATCTAAAGAATTAATTTCACTTTAATTTTCTCTTCCTCCTTTCTTAATTTTTAACTCTGTTGCTCTTTTTAATAAAAAAAAAAATCTTCATTTTTTTAAAATATTCAAAAATAAATTTTTTCGAACTGTTTTTTGAAAAGCAAAAAAATTTTCTTTAGAAAAAATTGATCACATTCAACGAAACCAATTATACGCGTATATAAAAGGATTGGTACAGGCCCAACTATTCTTGAAATTCATGCTACGTGGTACGAGTACAAAATTCCTAAATAGTCACAAGGAGCGCAATGTTCTTTTTTTGAAATAAAAAAATTTTTCATCGACTCATTTTCTTTTTTTACCTTAGCTAAATAAATGGCAGGTATTTTAAAAAACCATGAATTTTATTTGAAAATTATTCTATTTATTTAAAAGTAAAATAAAAAGAATAAACATTGTTTCATAACTAAAATATCGATTCATTGAGTGTTAAAATGAAAAAAAAAAAACCTTTAGAAGAAGAGAATTGAACAATGCAAACCAATATTTATATAAATTTATATATCAAATTCCAATAATTTTTATTAAATTTACTATTAAAAAAATATTGGCATATAGAACGTCAGTCAGAAATTAGTTATGAAACTCAATTTAAAGGAAAATAAAATTCTTTTATTAAAAACTATAATTTCTTTTTTTGTAAAATGTTTTATTAAAAAATATGCAAAAATTGTTGCGGATTTTTTTTCGAAACCTAAAAATATATATATATATATATATATATATATGCAATTCAGAGGTCCACATAATTAAGAACGCTCGACTAATTAAAAGCTCATTTATCGCTTCAATAATTATGAATAGTTTTGAATAATTATGAATAATGTACAAAAAAGGATTCTTCCTTTGACGGTTAATTATTCGTGAATTAAAAAACAAAAATTCCTCTTTAAAATGGAATTTACTTTATTCAAAGTAAGAGCTCAAAATAGCATTCCAATTAAGGATAACAGAACCTCGTGACAAGCAGCCTGGCAAATAATATTGGAAAATGCAAATTAAATAGTAGCCTAGACGCATTTTTTTTTATAAAGAGACGAACTGCTTTTCTCTTTTTAATTAATAAATTTTTCAGATTTATTTGCAATTCCCTCTGTGATTGTTTTTCGCTTTTCAACATTGAATTCAGCAAAGTTATATATATATATATGACATCTATCATAAATTTTGTGGTATAAAAAAAAAAAATTTTGATTAATAAACGTATACATGAATGTATGTGTCATTAATAATGTTTAAAGTTCTTAACTACTTAGTTTCCATTTCTAACTTAGAAAAGTAGTTCCAAGTTGTAATTTGCCGAAAATAGATGCAAAGTTGATACAAAAAGTTTTAATTATTCTCAACAAGGAAAAGCATTTTCTAATGTTCTATAATTAAATTGACTATAAACTTTGTTAATTTGTTAATTTAATTTGTTTCAATAATAATTTAATAAAAAATCATTAATTAAAACATATATCAATAATGAAAGAATTTTTATCAAAAATTACATTTTAATGAGTATAATACCTAAAGTTAAATTGAATGAAATTTTAAACGATAAAAAAAAACAAAAAGGGAAAAGCGGATGAAATCGAAATTAAAGAAGTTAATCGAATAAAAATGTGTAATAGAGAGGCAAAAGAAAATCAGTAAACTTAAATGAGGTTCCAGTGGTTAAAAAAAAACAGTTTTTTCCTCTTTCTTTCTTTATAGATATATATATATATTTGAACAAAGAAAAACATTTTCTCCAACCTAATATTTCCCTGCTCAGATGTTACTCGTTCGAGAGTGAAATTATCAAATAAATTGCGAAAGGGTGGTTACTACCTTTCAATCCGTTTTCCAGTCGATATAAAGTAATACAAGTCCGGCGTGTCGTACAAAACCAACTTTTCTATCGTATCTCAAAAATACACACACGGCCGACAGACTTTTTTATCGAAAGAGTTTTTCTAAATCGAATTATATATATATATTTTTTTAAATAATAAAAGTTAAACGCTTCCTTTTCAATGAATTTTTATCTGATTAAAATTTAACAATCTTCCCAAAAAAAATATTTTATATGCTCCATACATTTCATATATGATATCAAAATCCATTCATAAAAAGAAAATACATAAAATATTTTACTTTAATCACATTTAACGTTTATATAAAGATATAAAATTTTTTAATTCACTTTTTTTTTCGTTTTATTACAGCTTTTGTTTAATATTACTTTTGAAATGTTACATTCTATTATAGTTTATTAAATTTTACATATAAAAGACAAAAAAAAAAAAATTCTTTTCATTAGAGAGAAATTTATAGGATTTCGAATTCAAGATTGTACATTTCTGCAAAATGAAGTTTTCAAAGTATTAGAAAGATCCAAGTTTGAAAGCTTTTATTCCAAAGCACCCAAGTTTTGAAGAGGAAACTTTAAATGATTTTTGAGTTAAAAGAATTGCATCTTGAAAGCTTTCCTTGTCCTCAAGACGTTGACATTTTTATAGATACTAAAATTTTATTTTCAAACTGCGCTCGAAATTTGAAAATCTTCCCTTACCAAAATCGGCCACTCACATAAATCATTTTTTTTACGATTCCTCCCATTTGCCAAACAAAAAGAGCTGTTAACTTTAAAATAGAAAAAAAAAATTTTTTTTTCTTTGTTTTAAAATTGTGATATTATTTAATTTTTTCTGTCAATAAATTATATCCACAATTTTAAAAATTGAGCACATATTTCCCAGTAGACATTAGTTTCCTTTGGATTTCCGTTTGTAAAAATAAAATGTACGACTTCAATTTTAATTAATAATGGATCTTTTGGCAAGAGGAAAAGGTATCTAACTTATATATTGAAAAGAGGGATAAATTGAATAGGAAATGTAATAATGTGTGATTGATCGTTTATAATCAAACTTGGCAGTTAGTCAGGGAAATGGGAGGTGGAAGAGATGAAGAGGGAGGTAGTATGAATCCTCGCAGGATCCTCCCGAACTGAGTTCCGTTTCCGTTATGGCGGCTGAACCAATCCAATCGTATCAGAACGGATCTACCGCGAACGCGAAGCAGGAAAGCGTTTATCGCTCGTAAATACGACAAACCCCCCCCCCTCCTCCCCCTTTGGGAACACTGACCATTCCAAATCCAGCTATCATATGGTATGAGCCATGGACTCTATGGGAAATCTCGCATTGCCATATAACAGACAATATTTTATCGACCAACACATACACACTCACACACTATCCCCCCCATCTGCTTGGGAGATTTTCACATGAAACTCCATCGAACAAATCCCCTACCTTCGTTCACTATAATCCCATCTAGCATGCGATTTGCAAACCGTTTAAAACGATTCCAACGGATAATATTACGTGTCATTGAGAATAATAATATATAGTGTTATATTTAGAAAATTTCCTACTAAATAATTAATTTCCATTAATAGAACATTGTATTTTTTTTACATAAATGTTTTGAAGTTAATTTAATGTTTTATGAATTCAAAAAAAAACACGAATGATCAATCGTTAAAAATAACTGCAGCCATTTTCCTTAATTCTTTGAAATGAAAGTAATGATTTCATTAATCTCATACGTGACTGAGGGAACAAAACACATGAAATTGGTGTTTAAGAATAATTTATTACACCCAAGCTATTGCACATTACTTTTTTTTAATTCCACTTAAAGGGTCTTCTAGAAAACGTGCTTCGCGTTTTTTAGTGTCGTTGCTACTTTTATGACAAATTCAGTTCAATTAATTGGAAACGACATTGAAGAAAGTGAACAAATTTTCCATTTGAAAAGAAAATAAAACTGTTTTACAGAAAATGTTTGCCATGGAGAAAAGGAAACGTAATTTCGAGGGAAATGTTTGATGAAACCGTCTCTGAATATCAAGGATATTCATTCTCTTCTTTTTCAACCCTCATATAATTTTGATATGGCTGGAGTAATTTTCTTTTTTTTTTTTTTTGATGAACAGTGCCAACAATGGAATATGTGATCAACGATTCTTTAATAATCGAATAGCGTACAGTAGACTGAAAAAGCCCGTTGGGAAAAACGTATCGCTATGTACTTTTGAGGTCGCCTTTGGACTACCGAATAATCTCGAGATATCATCCAACGAATGAAAAAGTACAACGTACTTCGCCGCCAGCACTGTTGGAGGTCGATTTCACTCGGTTTTTAATCTTCTTCTCGCGATATGAGAATCCACTGCAAGAGTAGGGTGAGATGAGGTGGTCACGCGATAGAAGCAAAGGCAAAAAAAAAACCGCAGTCTATATGTCGCGTTTGTCGTCACTATTTTAAACATGTGAGCCAACTGAAATCGCGTGTGTCATTTCATTACAATCAGCTCCTTCATCATTCTGGAAATGAATTCACGTTTCACGTCATTTCTTACACATGGAAGCACACCTTCAGGGAAAAAATACGAGTTCCTTTCTTTTTCATTCTGTGTGTGCTAGTTCACTTGTCAGAAGAAAAAGCATTATTGGACATTTTACTAGAGGCGATTGCATGTGCCTGATTGAAAGTCTGCACGCACACTCCGATAAAAACTTGAGAACAAAATCACTTGAGACGTTCTTATGTCGGAATTTCTTAATTAAGTACTTTCTATCAAGAACAAAAAATTAAGGGAATGACAATTAATAATAGTTATCTAAATAACGACTGTTTATCATACATTAGACATTTTTGAATACAGTCATTAATTAATTCAATTAAGTAGAAGATAGTTGTCACATAAGGGCCATTTGCTCTTAGACACCGACCCGTGACAATGCTGTGCTTACAAGGATCCGAATCGACAAAAAAAGTGTATCGCGATAACTGGTCAAAAGCATTGATCTTTATGGACAATGTTTCCAAAAAAATCGACTAATAGAAAGTTGTCACTTGTCCTTTATATTAAGAGTTGTTACTTGTCTATCATATTACAATTTTATTCACTATGAACTTTGAAAATACGAACCCATTTTAAAAGATAAGTGACAACTCTGGTAACTAAAAACAGTACGCACAGAAAAGTCTGCAGGCAAGTAAATGACAAGTGCTGACGTTCAGTAATCGAAGAAAAGCAATGCGCACTAAAAAGTCTTTGACAAGTTTTCTTCACCTCCAAAAGACAACAGACAATTTATAAAAATTTGAGTTTATTCACAATAAGCTTTGAAAATACATACACTTCCAAAAGACAAGTGACAACTCTGGTAAGTAAATGAAAGCACTGCGCACCAAAAAGTCTACACACAATTAAATGACAAGTGATAATGTTCAATTATCGAAAAAAAGCAGTGCGCACTAAAAAGTCTTGAACAAGTTTTATTCATCTCCAAAAGACAACTGACAACTCATGAAAATTCGATTTTGTTCACTAGGAACTTTGAAAATATGAACACTTCCAAAACACAAGTGACAACTCTGGTAAATAAAAGCACTACGTACAGAAAAGTCTACACACAATTAAATGACAAGTGATAATGTTCAATTATCGTAGAAAAGCAATGCGCACTAAAACGTCATTTGACCTTTATATTGAGAGTTGTCATTTGTCTACCATATTGAGAGTTGTCAACAAGTATTTTTCTGTTAAAGCAGAGAGACAAGTGACAACTTTGTATCCAAAGGACAATTAACAACTGTGATGCAGTTTATCATTGTTGACAATAATAAATAGAAATAAATGATGACTTTAAGAAAAAGTGACAACTTTCAGACAGACGAATTGTTTGGAAACATTGTCCATAAAGGTCAACGCTTTTGACCAGTTATCGCGATACACTTTTTTTGTCGATTCGGATCCTTGTAAGCACAGCATTGTCACGGGTCGGTGTCTAAGACCAAATGGCCCTTATGTGACAACTCTCTTCTACTTAATGTTTTTTTTAAGAATTATTAAAGAGATCTGATTACTTTTACGAAAATTATGTCGTTCTTAAATACAGCATGAATTATCCTCAGTATCATTAGAATTTATCCTTACTTATAAAACGCTGCTTTGGAATTTTAAACAACTTTCAGAAACTCATTGACATCTAATTAAATTTTAACTTTCAATTGTATATTCAACTTCCATTAAGAGAAATTTTTCCAAGTTAATATAATTTAATAAAAGTTAATTTAGTTATAAGTTTATAAATTTCATTCTAATTTCCTTCTATTCATTTGTTTTTGTATTCATATTTTTTTCAAACTTTTTTTTTCTTTTTTTTGATTCTATGACTTCTGCATGAAAGGATCTAAATTTTCAACGAACAGGTCGGGAATAAGGTTACGCTAAAATAAATATCAGTGTGCTAACAGTGACTATATATTGACTTTGGAAATAGAAGAAGACCATTCGTTTCGGTCAATCTTTGCATAAAGCAAAAGAAACAAAAACGTGATCTTTTTATCCTCTCAATCAGTGAGACGAAATAATAGGCTTACCGTTGAAGAACATTTAATCAGAAGAATAAAGTTTTTAAATTATTTTTTATTTCATTCTATCATCAGTATAAATAATCTATTATAAAAATGAATAATATAATAATTTATGTTTAACAAAAACAAAGCTTGGTCTTAATAAATAAGTAACTTTTGTAATTTTAGTAAACATATCAAAAATAATAATAAAATTTAATCCACATATCAAAATAATTGTGACATTATAAAAAATTGAAATCATCCTATATGCGATCAATAAATACAAGCGGCAATTGCACATTATATATATATATATATTATCTGCTTTTCACGGAAATTCATATTAGCACGTCTAACTGACTCTTTTTATGAGAAAAACTTTATGGTTGTCCTTCAATAATAGGGCATTAATTTTAATACTTTTTCTTTATTTAGTAAATTATGTGGTCATAAAAAACGCACACCTATTGAGTCGTAAAATAAAAATTTACACAGCATGGCTCGTAAAATATGGCATAATCGGAATCTTCTGCATGAAGGTTGTAGCTGTAGGTATATTTTTTTTAACACACTACAGTAACTTTTTCCATTAATCGAAAAAAATGTATATTAAATAAAAAGGATGAATTATATACTAGACTTTAAAAAGAAATAATTAATTACATAAGTTAAATACACTCAAGAAGAAAGAAAATTAATCTATTTTAATTAGCGAGAAGAATATGTTTTAGGTAAAAAAAAGATTTATACTCCCTTCAAACACAAGAGCGATGTCGACTAAATGTATTCGTTATTCGAGCAATTTAGCTAACACTCTGGTGACCGAGTGTTGTTTTCAATACTATGCAAATCATCTTAGGGTCGAATCATACATAATTCATTTTCTCGTAATTAAACGAGATTTCTTGTACAGGAGTAAACAAGAAGGGTTACACTTAGAGAAAATGCAGAACCATTCTGAGCAGACGTTTCTTGTACAAATTAAAATGAAAAATAATTTTCAATTGAGATACTGCATTTGTAAGGAAAAGATACGGAAAATTTGTTAAATTTTTAAAAATCTAGAAAATTTGATAAGAAGGAAGAAAAAAATTTTAAATGATCAGGAAAAATAATATCAAAACGAAACAATAATAATAAGAAACAAAGTATGTTTAGGGATAAAAAAAACCCAATAAAATCAAAAGAATGCAATGGGGATGAAATAAAAGGAGAACAAAAGAGGAGGATGATGGTGAAATAAGATAAGGGTCAAGTTGTTTGTGTGGACAACGGGAAGGAAAAATAAAACAACATGAAAGCGCAATTGGAGAGTAACAATAAATAGGATTAAAAGTCAAGAAAAGAAATTGCTATTAAATAAAGTGTACCATCATCATAACATTAAAAAGCAAAATGTATTAAAAAATATTAAAAAAATTAAAGTAAACTGTTTTATTAATTAAATGCGATTTTTTTTTGTTCTAAAATAAATTTTTCTTACCTTTTGGTGGATTGACACGCAATGCAGATCTATAAAGACTCTCCTCATCATACCAATCAGTATTTCGAAGAATTGTTCTTGCTGACATTAGGCCTAATAATAACATTGTCAACACTAAAATTCCTTTGGCCACCTTTTTACAACCCGATTTTTTTGCTACACCATAAGTTCCAGAAATTGCAGCTCCAATTGTCAAACATGCCCCAATACTCGGAAGATAAAGAATTCTCTCAGCTATCACAAATCCCACATAAAAGAAGAGATTACTAGCTGGGAGAAAAGGAAGCACTAGAAAACCGAGGATAACAAGTAGAGATGAATATGTACACCCTGATGATGATGATGATGATAATGATGATTTCTTTTTAGGACAATAGCAATCGTTAACTGGACCATTATTATTATTAGCGGCTCTACATCCATCTGTGTGACAAGCTCCTGTTTTTCTGCCAGCACAAACAGGACATTTTGGTGTTGTTGGCCAAGACGAGGTAGACATTGAATAGGAAGACAATTCGAATGTTGTTCGTGACCTTGATCTGGCTCTTCCTCTGGACAAACGAACACGACGAACAGCCCATAATGTTGCAGTGCCTAGGGCAGCATAAAGGCATACAGATTCAAGATTTCGTGAATCTTTGAAGTTGGTTATTCTTGGCACAGCATCCATGGACCAATCGAAACTTAGCGTACTGGGACAGAGAAGCATTCTAACACTTGCTGCTGGTAGATAGAGAAATGTGAGACCTCGTGTTAATCTCGAGGGATGTCGAGCTACTGGATTGTCAGCACTTGCAAATTCAGGAACTCTACCACCACTGATCCTAAGCCTGCCAAGGGTCAGCATTGCCAGACTTCCTGCGAGGATTGTCGAACTTCTCCATTTTCCATAGCCATTTGTTGAAATCTGAAAATTTTACAAAAATAGTATCTCGTTAGTTAGGATACACAACAATTACATTTATATTAAAAATTATCATCATAACTAAATCTTTCAAATTTGTTTTTCTTTATTTATTCTTTCACCTTATATTTATATTCCCTAAACCTTATTAATATCAGAATGGATATCACTAAAATAAACCTATTGTAATAGAAATCTATTGTTTTGGACACATGCATGACTATGCAAATTCGTGGCTCCATGTAAGTTTACTTGACAATGCAGTTATACGCAGTAAACTGAACGTTACATATACTATAAAGTTTAAAGTGAATTTTCTCAAAACATACTAAGCTGGATTAGATTTTCCTGGTTACTCTCTTATCGTATCCGGTGAACATTCAGGAAGGTTGCTTCTCAAAATCACTGGTTTGCTGAAAACTCAGTTTACAACCTACTTCAAACTTCATTTTGATGAGTCGACTTCCTTAGAACGTTACACTATCATTCAACGTTTATAGTTTGCTGCGCTAATTCTTGGGAGTTTAATGAAATTACTTGACAAAGTAGAAGAGGTGTTGAATAATATTTTTCCTTCAGAAAGTAAAAAAAAAAAAAAAGTTTAATCTTTGTTTTCGTTTATTCAAATTTTTATAAATTATCAAAAGCTCTTATGTTTTGTTTTAAAAGAAAATAAATTCAAACTCCTATAAAAGTTATGAATATAACTTGGGAGTTGGCTAACAATAATTTGTTGTTTAGAGCAATTAAGTGCTTAGCTTTTGGACTTGAATAGTTTGCTAAATGACTTTAGTTATTTGGCCTTTGCCATAGCTATGTAGATACAGTGAAAATCAATACATTCCCTTGTGGCCATTTATATGTCTAAAATTTACAAAAAATTTCTTTAACAAAAAAAAACTGTATTTTTAATGTCAATGACAGTATTAAATTATTTAAATTAATACTTTTTATTCTGAATTTTCTTCTCGTTCAAAATTTCTACTTTCAAATTCTTTCTGTGGTATATGCCTGACTTAGAACGCTTTCAAGTTTGTTCTATTAAATATTACAGTAAACAGAATTGTGAAAGTGATAATATTCTGTAAAAGTTCTTTTTTTTTTTGACTAAAAAGCAGTTTTGTTTAAAAAATATTTAAATTTAATTATAAAGATTTACTTTTGTTCTACTTTCTTGTAAATTCTGTTCTTCGCTTACAACAAAGGGTCATCCATCATCTTTCTATCATCTATCATGTGCACGTAGACCAGACAATGGCTCTCAATGTGACCCAAGCATAATATAAACACTTCTTTCTAAATGATTGTAAAAAATTTAATTAATTATAAAAATGGAGATTATAATAATTTTATAATTAGAAAATAAGAATTATTTCTATTACTATTGTATTTTTTAATTCATAAAAATAGTTATTATTTAGTTAATTATAATATAAAAGCTTTTGTTTTTTTTACTTTTGTTTGTTTTTGAATTTTTTTTTCTTTTTAAAGTGCATAATTATTTGTCTTTTATTCTCTTTTTAGTCGCATTGTTTTTGTCTCACATCCGTATAAAATACAACGTTCTATACATACATAAGTTTTTAGCAGATTCTTTTCCATTTGAAAATTTATGTTCAAAGTTAATTTCTATGCATTCAGAAACAAAAGCTTTCTTTTTTTTTGCATGCACATTCTTCAAATGTCTACTTTTGAACGGTCATCTTTTGTTATTTTAATATGATGGCAATAAACATTAACTTTTATCTTTTCCGTTACTTATCTTTAATACATAAGCGCCTCTTTTCTGCTCTTCTTTCATACACACCATAACTTTAGCTTTATCTTTATTCATTTTTATATGATGGTCGCTTTATACTTTATACTCTTTGAAGTTTGTATAATTCATTTCTATAGATTGTTGAAAATAATAAAAGTAATAATAATTAAATTTGTAAATGTTATCAATTATTAAAATAAGAGATTTTCTTTTCTAACTATTTGATGAACGTATTTGATAGAGTTAAAATTGACTAATATCTGCTGATTCTTTGTATATAATTTGATTTTATCTTCGTTTTCTATTAAGTCTATTGCAACTGCCCTATTCTTTTATAGATCTTTCAATGTTCTATCACAATTTTAACCTCAAAATTGAATTCCCTTTTCTCATTTCGTCTTCCATTAGATTTACTCCCTCGTTTTCTTCGTATAAATGTTTTAGATGCTTTTTCTTTATATCACTACCTTTATCTTTACGATGATCTTTTCATTTTAACAATGCTTTTTCGTTTCTGTAATGTACACATTCAATATATTTTTATTACTTTCTAACAATCTTGTTCATGGAATTATATGCTTTGGGAATTACTGACATTTAGTTAAATTACTTATAAAAATTCCATTTCTTTTGGAAATCTGTCCAGACGTCTGCTGCATTAACAACGTTGGAATTGATAGTTTTTAAATATAGTTTTTAATTTTTAACTTTTGGAAACTTTCTTTGGATTCAGTCTAAATGATTGAAACCAAATTTTAAAGAATTGACGTGCATGTGTTTGGAAAATTAAAAAAAAAGAGTTTTGTCACATAAGGGCCATTTGATCTTAGATACAAACCCGTGACAATGCTGTGCTTACAAGGATCCGAATCGACAAAAAAAGTGTATCGCGATAAATAGCCATAAGCACTGATCTTTATGGGTAATATTTCCAAACAATTCGACTGTCCGAAAGTTGTCACTCGTCTTTTTCTTGCAAAGTCATTATTTTTTATAAACTTTATCAGAAAAACACTTGTTGATAACTCTGGATATGAAGGTCAAGTAACAATTCTCAATGTAACGGACAAGTGACAACTCTCAATATAAAGGAAAAATGACAACTCTGAATACGAAGAACAACTGACAACTCTCAATGTAATGGACAAGTGACAATTTTGAATGTAAGAGACAAATGACAACTCTCAATGTATAAAAGACAAGTGACAACTCTGATGCAGTTAATAATTGCTGACAATAATAATTAAAGACAACTGATGACTTTCTGCGAAAGGGACAACTGGCAACTTTCTATGACAATTGTTTCTGAAATATTGCCCACAAACATAAATACTTCTGACCGTTTATCGCGATACATTTTTTTTGTCAATTCGGATCCTTGTAGCATTGGACATGTATGTATTTGGAAAATTGAAAAAACAGAAATGGAGAATATCCTCTCGACGTACAATAAAACACTATCAAGAAAGGAAAAATCGTAAAGAATTTTTTCCCGGAAAAGAAAAGAGAGATAAATCTAAAGAGTAGAGGGAATGAGAGGCGGAGGCCTCTTTTGGGTTTGCTGATAAGACGACGCCGTTTCTGCGCCACGTGCAGCCCTAGTAACGTGCTGGTAGAGACAGGGAGCTGATACACTGCTGGATTCCCCTAACTCCTTAACCTCATACCAAGTTCTCTTTGCCTCTCTCATCCTCACACATCGTGTGCTGCTTGCATCCGGATGCGCTGGTTGCAGCAGACGCTTCGCGTGATGCATGTCGCCTCCTTGCCGTGGGTTGGAGGGATGCCAAGGGTCGTTCGCATTTCCCAACACCTTCTCGAAAGATCCCAACCGTGCGCAGTAGTGAGTTAGTTATCCTCAGTCTTACTCAAAACTTCTTCATCTATTTTCTTTTTGCTGTTACCCATGCCTTATTTCCAACGTCACCATCACATCTAAGTAGAGTCATACATTTGGCTTGAGAGAAATTTTCGAATCTCAGACCGTTGAATTTATAACTCGCGTGTCTATCTAATAAGGTGGAACAAATCGTTGGGTAGAGAGGAGCGAGAAAGATAATGGCAATGAGCAACCAACCGTGAGCCACTTTTATTTTATTACCAAAAAAAATTGAAGTCAAAAACCAAAATAGATCTAGTGCTTCAAAAAAAAGAAAGTTTTTGGAATTTAACATTTGTAGTTTGAAGATAAAGGAAGATTTATCAACAGCAAATGAAATATCTAAAATTAAAGAAGTTTAAAGATTTCAACCTAAACATTAAATTACTATACATAATTACACTATTACCATTTTATGACTGATAAATTCATATGTACCTTATTGACAGTGATTATTACTATTGAGTAATTTTACTAGGAATAATTAATCACATGATCATTTGCATATATAGCCTTAATACGTTAATGCTATTAAATCTTCCTTTGATGCTCTTGCGAAAGGATGTCATGCTTCATGAATTGCGAATTTCAATGGATTTGAAATCTGTCAAAGCAATCTAAGACCCTTTACAGGCAAACTTTGTTCACATTTGTCACTAAGAGAGCTTTGTTCAGGTTAATACATTAATTAGCTTAAATATTTTGTGGTTTCCTCCTTTTTATTTGAAAATAATAATTTATTTGCCAAAAGAATTTACTTTTATTCGTGTATTTTAACTGTTTTTCAAAAAAAAAATGAAAAGCCATTTTACCACTTTTTGTAACAACTTTTGTTTATATCAAGAGTCAGTAGTTATTTTATTTTACAGAATTTTTTTGTGATTTGCATTTGACAGTTCTATAATTTGTAAAGTAAACTATTTGTAATTCTGTTGTCAGTTTTTAGTTTAATTAAATACAATTTGTTATAGTAGATTTAGTAGCTGTTTGGAAACGGTAGTTTAGATGGAATATAGAGATCACTTTAGGAACTATTGTCCTTGTTGTGGTCTCTATGCAGAATGATATATTATAGGGAGATGATAGATGACCCTTTGTAGTGGGTAAAGAACAGTGAATAGAATTGACAAACTATATAATATTTAGAGGTTTAATATAATTTTAAAATTCATTATATTTAATATTAAAGGATTTTCTAAAATTATAAAATAATTTTATCTTAAAATTCAAAATAATTGTTATAATTTAATTTTGATTGAATAAGTTTTTATACATCAAGTGCTTAAGGGATTTAATTAGCTAAATCCAATTTCAAAATTTTTAGTTTTGATTCAGGTGTTTAAAATTATTTTCACATGGTAATTTATTTAATAATTACAAAATTATTGAATAAATAATGCGTCTTTACTATTGAAGTAATAAAAATTCTTATTAATTTCGTAATATAATATTTTTTTTCATGAATAGTTTCCTTAATGATGTAGCATTTGAGGAATTAAGTGTTATGGAGTAACAAAAAATTTCAATGTAAAAGAGAAATCTGCTTGAAATTTATTTGATTTTTTTCGGTGACAAAAATTTGAGAAATATTGAAATTCTTTTGTAAATAAAATATTTTACGACTAGGTATCGATGTAGAGATGTTAAAACCAGATAGTATTTTTTGGTCTCGACAATTTTGTCAAATATTTTCAGGTTTTTGGTACTTCTATATACTTGCATTTTGTCACGTTTTTTGAAGATTTTATGATTTAGCAGATGTGCCTAATCCTACCGTCCCAAGTTTATTACTTTATGACGTCAAGCTTCGATCCTTTTGCCTGCATTATTTCCATTACCAAACCTAATGAAAACAAATTTACCTAATCTTCCTCTTTTCTAAAAATCCATAGTTGCCAGATTTCTTAAATAATTTAAATACAATGTTGCCAAATTTTCACGAACTACAATGTACCTACGATGTCTATTTTTTAACAGAATCAAGGTAACCTCCGGAACAGACACATCTTCCGCGATAGGTTACATTTAGCGCGATAAATTCAAATTAACCTAATTTAACTCTGATTGTATCAGTTTTGAGAAATATCACAATAAATAATTAAGTTTGTTAATATTTTAATTATTTTTCAAATTTATTTCTTTTCCATTATAATTCTAAACATTAAGCATTTGGCGATTTTAGAGTTTAATTAAATTATATGTATACGTGTGTTTAGTCCCTTGGATTTAATCACATCTTACCTTGCGAATATTTGGTTCGCTGTGACAGAATTCCCACAGGAGACAGAGAGCCAATGATGATATTCCTGTTTCTTTAGCCAAAGTAGCTAAGACTGCTGAGATCAAGGTGAACAACAGTGGTAAAAGCGATCGTGTTTGATCGCAATGCGCTGTGTATGCAAGAAATGCAGTCTGAGTAAAGAGACAGGCCAAAAGATCAGCTCGACCAACAATACCGGCAACAGCTTCAGTGTGTATTGGATGTACAGCAAAAAGTAAACCAGCTATTGCTTGAGCCAATGTATGCCCCGGTAGTATCTGTAAATATTAGTGGGTGATAATTAACAAATTTAATCTTAGAGGTTAAAAGAATTTTTTTTTTTATTAATATACATTTTGAATTTAAAAACAAAATTTCCCTAACGGAACACTTTGACAAAAAGAAACATTTATAGGATAATATTTTTAGGTCCGTCAAAGGTGTTTACATGTAAATTGATCTACATATTCGACGTGTACTTTAAAGGAAAATTCCATTTACTTGCAATCGAAAGCAGTAAATTTCTACTTTGTGAAGCCAGATTGCACCCTAGGGCGCTAGAATAGTAATCACTAAAAGGATCGAACAAAGTTATATACCCAGCATGCGTTGCCTGATAAAACGATTCGCGCAGTGTTGTAATCTCTTCATAAAAAAAAAAAAATCCTACAGAAGTTTTGTGACGAAAGCCATTTAGAGAATTTAAATAAAATATAGATGTACAAAATTTTTTTTTTTGCATACTTTTATTACATCACTACTTCGATAGCGTTTATTTTATTTTTTTTTATGAAACAGAACAGGAATATAAAAAAGAATTTCAATTCCAAAAAAAAGTTACAAATCCATTTATGGAAAAAATCATTCATTGGTGAATCTTGGAATAAATATTATCAGAAAGGGAAATTTGTAATATCTTGACCATAAAGTATCCAATACCCTTTTGTAGAACAAGGAATGTCGCCATATGTGACGCTCGAATAAAAACTCCCTTTCGCCTTATAAACATCATCTCTCAGAACTGTTTGCACGTAACGGGAAGCACATGGTGGCAAAAAATTAATTTCATAACTTTCCCTTTGGAAAACCCTGGTGGGGTTTGGATAATTTTTTATTCCCCAAGAAAAAAAAGACACATCAGTGGTGAGAATTTACAAGGTCTGTTGCCCATAAGTTATACTTTCAATTTCATCGCTTCCATAGTAGTGCTATTTTGATTAACGATGTATATAAAACGACTTTTACATTCAACATCGATCTTTTACGTTAAGATAAAGTATTTGAACAAAGATTATTGTGTTTAGATTTCACATAGACGTCATGTATATTATATAACGGGAAAAAAAATCATTTTTATTTCAAGAAACTTTATCTCTGACATAGAGATGAAAAAAAAAAGAAAAAACCCCTCACAAAGGGAAGAAAAAGGCAAGTGATATTGAATATTTCTTGACCCTCACACATTCTTGCAAATGTCAACAAAAGAAAAATTCAAAAGTGCCATTTCATTCATCACAAATGTGAAAATATTTTCAGCCAATATAAAAAACATTAGGGGATTTTACTTGTATAGCTTTAAAATTTATAAGGGCTTTTTTCCTTAGTTGTATGTATATATATATATATATATATTGAAATCTTTTATATATTTTTATTTCTTTTTCAATTCCTGGATATATGATTTATATTATCATTCTTTGTATTTTCATTTTTCTCCTCTATTTTTATTCGAATGCTTCGAAAAATATTTATTTCTTTTAAATTTTCTCTAATATTGGAACACTGGTGAATAATGCATAGTTGCTAAAGATCAATGTGGGGCAAACAATTGCTGTGAAAGCAATTCACAATCATAATGATCGAAAGGAAAATTAATTACTTTTCTTCTTACCGCACGTTCGATAATTAAATTGAATTTTTGCAAAAAAGAATTTCAAAAAAGAAATAAAATAATGAGACAATGAATTATTTATTAAATTTTATATTTAAATGCAATACATTTATGAATGAACATTAAATAATTCACTTTTTTAATGAATTTTTAATTTAAAAACAGACTTTTTAAACACATTGGAATTTCCAAAAATCAACTCTGTCGAAAAATTGTACTTATTCATGAAAACCGTTCTAGAAAAAAAAATAGCTTAACTACATATGTAACTATATAATTTTGTTATTTAAATTTAATACTAATACTGCGATAACCTCTTTGTATTGGCTTATTAGCCACAAAACAAAATAAATATTATAATTAACTTTTGTAATAATTAATAGGAGAAACGGAGATTTTTTTTTAACAAACTTTTAAAAGTGAAAATTAAATTTTATTTTTCGTATTTCAATCATAAAAAAATTAATAATTCTTTTTTTTTAAATAACTTTTGTTAAACTGATTTAACAGAGAATATTTCATGTATCACTTGAATATTGATTGTGGGATAATAATTTTTTTTTTTTTATTCAACGATAAAAAGAATTAATGATTTATACCTTTCTTGCTATTCGAACAACGAGAGCTGTACAAACTGCATGAAGAATAATATTCACGAGATGATAACCTTGGGGTTCAAGGCCACCGAGAAGATAATTGATTCTGAATGTAGCAACACAAAATGGTCTATAGCTACCATGTGAACCCTTTTCATTAAGAGGAGTCCCCCAAAAATCATTCTCCAATAGTTTATACCATTCTGTCGTTGGTTTTAGATCTGGATTTGTCAAAATGGCTCTCCTGAAACAAGAAAAAAAAAAATTTTTTTGTTAATATTTTTTGTTTATTTATTTATTTTTTATTGTTAATAAAGTATTTATGGATTATTTATTATTTTTTTTTGCATATTATCAGAATGAAATTAGTGTCGTTTCATTTTGATTAAAACGCTATGTAGGGTGATCACAAAACCATATTCATCCAGAATTTGAGCATCAAGCGTATCGCTTCAAGCGGTTGGCTGACCAAAGCTTTTCCCCCTATCTACTTGCAATATCATGTTATACGTCACGTTCTGATATAGTATTTCACAAAACTTTACAGTAAAGCACAAAATGTGATCTGAGCTTGATATTCCAACATAAAATCAAGAGCTTTTGACCTCATATCAAACTCAATCAAGTATCTCTATCTCATCCATATGCACCTGACAAGATATATTCACTAATAAATGACAGCTAATTGATAATCAATAAAAAAAAAAAAAAAACCTTCACCGCATAATAAACCTTGCTTTTACGAGAATTTATTCATAAAAAAAAAATTATCTTCAATTATAGATAGCTATTGAATATGTCAACTGTGCTTCAATAAATGTTATAAATACTTTTAAAATAGGTTACAAATTTTCTAGCATCGCATTTTTTTAATAAGATTATTAAATTAAATATCTTAATTAAAGAACTTTTTGTTTTATATATCGAATATATATAAAAAAAGTATTATTGGTTATTATTTTTAAATTGAGTAATATTTGAGAAATGAAAATGTATAAAAAAATTTTTTATGATTCAACTAAAGTCATGTTTCGGTATAATATATAAAAAAGAAGGCAAAGACATTTGACGGAAATTGTGTTGCTGGGATTATATATATATATATATATGAAAAAAGATACTTTACTTTATATATGAAGATTAGTAATATAAATGTTATGAAACTCCTTTAGTGTCAAAGGATAGAAGTGGGTTTAAGAAAAGCGCTAATCCCACGCACTGAAACTCAAAGTCATTTAATTTTATCTTAGGTTTATAGCAATATCAATAAGAGTGAAGCTTCTCCTTGGGAGATTATATCTTCCGAGATATTAATAATAATAATAAACTTTTTAATGAAAATTTCATTCAATACATGATTTCTCATATTTTTAAAATATTTCAAATTTCAAATTATTGAATAAATTGATAGATATTCTATTTAAAGTTAATTTTTTAATTTTTTTTTCCTCTTCCAGGAAAACGTTCTATACAAAAAAAAATTATTTTTCACTTATTTTCCTGTTAGTATGATTTTGGAAAAGTATTTTCTACTTTAAAAAAATTGTAGGCAATAAAATAAATGAGAAAGAAATTATTCCCTCATAACAAAAGGATATCCCTAGGATATCCATAGGATATCCATATCAATGGTCGATATCCTAGAATGGTCCCCAGGATATCTTGGGATATTCATAGGATATCCCTAGGATATCCAAACCGCCGGTCTGTGGGACATCAACAGGACATCCATAGGATATCCACAGGATATACCTAAGACATCCACAAAATATCTATTGGATATTATATCGCAGGATTTCCATGGGATAACCTCAGGATATCCTCAGGATGTCTGTGGGATATTCTTAGGATATTCACGGAATATTTAATATCTCAACATATATTTTTAAAGGTTAAAATTGTTAAGCTAATATAATGAATAATAAATTAATATAATAAAAACAAAAATCTTATGAGCTTCTAATTTATTTTAAATGAAGATTTGAAACGCATTTTTCAAAGTTTTTAAATAAACTCATGCACTTAATGTATAATTAATATTAATAGTTATTCGTTATTTGCGGGGAAGAATTTATATTGTTTAAAGACAATTTATTTTCTGACAATATTAAGCATATGAATACAGGAATGAATCACGAATGAGAAAAAAATTAGTTAATAATTTGTCAAATTAAACAACTTTCTCAAAAAACAAGTTGCATTTTATTTTATTTATATAAAATTTAATTCACAGAATATTCTCACTCGTATTAATCTCATAATGACTTTAAAAACAGTATCCTGAGAATATATTCTTGACATCCAGAAGATATACTGAGAATATCCGGAAAATATCTGTGGGATATCCTGACGATATCTATGGGATATCCTGATGATATCTGTGGGATATCCTGACGATATCTATGTCTATAGAGAGTCTATAGAGATATCCAGAAGATATCCTGTGGATATCCTCAGATATCCATGGAATATCCAAAAGATATCCAAACCGACGATTTTTTGGATATCCTTAAGAGATCCTTTTGATATCCATAGGACATCCCTAGGATATCTGTGGGATATTATCAATATATCCCAAGATATTTTGTGTTATTAGGGTTGAAATTAGTTTTTTTTAAATTTTTTCCTCTTCCAGGAAAACATTCTATCAAAAAAAAAATATTTTTCACATATTTTCCGGTTAATTTCCAGTTAGTATGATTTGAGAAAAGTATTTTTGACTTAAAATAAATAATAGTCAATGATTAAAGATTAAAAAATAACATAAATTACTTTTTATTCAGGTCATAGATTGAAAAAAAAAAAATATATATATAAAATCTAAATTTTATGATGGATGTAAATGTAATGAAGGAAATAAAAAAAAAATAATACTAAATGCGATCTGATATTTAGAAATTACGTGTTCACCCCTCTAAGTATAAAATATTTTTTCCCTAAAATAACGATAGAGACAGATTATATTGATCTGGAAGGTCAATTTCAAGCTCATTTTATTTTATCTAGATAAATGGGCAGCAATTCAAGACTTGATGAATAGTCACAAGCTAGACGTTATATAGTCGAGCTGAATAATAAAGCGCGGTTTTTATCGTTGAAACATAGGCTCTGAAAGCAAATGATGTTTTGGATATAAAACTTCTTGGCAGTGTGTATAGCCCTATATGCGAAAAAAAAAAAACCTTAAACAGAAGAATCGTAATTTTTTTTATTAGACACTTCAAAGCTCAGATATCAAAGTTAGAGTTGTAAAAAAATTATATACCATGGATGGTGAAATTAAAAAAAAAAGAAAAAAAAAAAAAAAAAGTTATTGCTTTTTCTGCATGAGATTTTATTTCACTACTTGCATATAATATTGATATCAGTATGAAATTTTACTGCTTTACCTCGAAATTGAAATTTATTTTCAGAAAACGGATCATTTTTAAATAACCTACAATTTTTTTTTATTATTATTTCTCAGTAAATTTTCAAATAATCATAAATTATTATAAACTATTGCATATGAAGTAAAATTTTAATTTAAAATTATGTATAAAATTTAAAAAATTAATATTAATAATTTAATAAACTAATGAAATATGAATATAATCAAATATTAAGTACAAATTCATTTAATTATAATGTCTATACTGATTGCTTTCAGTAATATTTTAAACATGAATAAAATTTACATTTTGGTTAGTTGTACAAAATAAACATTAATTCACTTGTTTACTATTGCAAACCAAAGTTTACATTTAATTTAATATTATCATATTTTAGTAAAATATTTAACATTTATGAAATTAAGTAACTTTATCGATTCATTAAAAACAAAACTTTATATTTTCCTTGTTAAAAATAAAATTAGATTTTTCAACAAAATTTTCCAAAATTATGCAATAAAAAAATTTTTCTTTATTTATTTTTAAATAACAAAAAATTATTTTATAATTTCTACAAAATTTATAGAACAATTCACAATTCTAGATATATTATATTCCATTTTAGAACAAATTTCCGATTATTGAACAACTTCAGACAATTCTCTATTGGAAAGTTCGAAATGTATTCAAAACTTTTACTTGATTTATTTTCCTAATAAATGTATATATAATTGTTTTCAATTGTTAATAAAATTATCAATGATTAATATAATGAGAAAAGTTAAATGAAGAATTATAAATTGTTTAAAAATGAAAATTTGAAAATTAAAATGTAATTTAAATTATTTTCAAAAATTATTTTAATTTTTTTTCTTTAATTATTGTATATTTATGAATTTTTCTTATTGTTCTTTATAAATGTATTTAAATATTAACAGGAGAGAAAAATATTTTTTGCCATTGATTTAAACTTATTATTATATCTTTTCATAAACATCAACATAGTCAGTTGTTGCACAACTTTCTCAATTCACGTGTGGCAAACGTTTATCGTTTTTACGACCCTGGTTACTTTTTTTTGCGTTTTTCCTTTTCGCATATATATATATATACACCTTACTGTACCTTTCTTCATGGCATTTCTTTAACCCGAGACGATAAACATATTTCTTTCTGTCTCTACTACCATCACCACTCCACTAACTCCGTTTCCTCTAACCGGTTGTACCATACCACCCTCAAATCCTGCGACCTTAATAAACGTATTTCCCTTTCTACCCCCTCTCCTTCTTTGGTAACTTTCGTCCTTTTTCATTTCTCAGCAACTTCCGAGAACTAGCAGCCGCGTTTCTTTCCGAACAAATCAACGAATTACAACTCTACCAGATATTAAGCTCCATAGATGATTAATTTGCTCCATAATTATTCGAAATGCAGTCGAATTTTCAAAAAACCGGTTTTTTTTTTTTTTATAAAACCATCAATTTAAATAAGTAGAAGAATTTTAAAAAATTAATAATCAAGAGCTAATAAATCAAATAATTATTGGAAATAAATAATTTTAAATGTTCTATACGAATCCATACAAAAACACGATTGCAAAACGAAAAGTAATATAATGACAGGTACATTACCTCCTGCCGCCGTCAGATGGCAGCAGCATGCAGGGCGCACAAAGTCGCAGCTGTTATTAGATTACTTTTCTACTTTTTGTTTTGCAATCATGTTTTTCTATGGATTCGTACAGTCTTTTGGATTTAGGAAATTTATAAGATGAGCATTTTGGCTGATTTTGTTAAAAGTGTTCGTGTTTCGAGAAAAAAGTATTTTAAAATCAATACTATTTCACATTCAGAGCAATAATTAAAGCTCT